GAATCTTGGAAGAACAGAGTCTCAGAATCTCAGAATCTTGGAAGTTCAGAATCTCAGAATCTCAAAATCTCAGAATCTTCAAATTCAAATGCATTCCAAAAACTGTATGTAATTCTGGCGCCAACCTTCTTCTCTCCCACATTCATCATTCAATGACAACACAACACACATCTGCATATGTACCATTCTCCCCCCCCCCCCTCTCTCTCTCTCTCTCTCTTTCTGTCTTTGCATAAGGAGAGAGAGAGAGAGCTCCTATAGTAGTGGTTTTTGCTAATTTTGAGTTTTCGATTTTTCTGAAGTCTCGCATTGAAATCAGGCTAAGTTTTGGTGGAAAATAGCTGAAAAAAAATACTTTTTTTCTGATTGATTTTTTGGAAACCGAATTTTAAGAAAATCTTATAACGTCTTGGGAGATTCTGAGAATCAATAATGTCGTGAGTGAGTGATTAAAGCTCCGCCCACTTTTTTGTCTAGGCGGGCCAGACCCAAATATTTTGGGCTGGAATATTCGAATTGATTTTTTTTTTATGTTTTCGGGAATTTTTTCATTTATGAGCTTCCGAGTATTTTTGAAATAGTTTTTAATTTTCCAATTTTATAACCTTTCCATTCATTTTTGTTATTTTTTTTTGTTATTTCTTGAATATCCTGAACAGAATTTCAGAATCTCAGAATCTCAGAATCTCAAAATCTCAGAATCTTGGAAGAACAGAGTCTCAGAATCTCAGAATCTTGGAAGTTCAGAATCTCAGAATCTCAAAATCTCAGAATCTTCAAATTCAAATGCATTCCAAAAACTGTATGTAATTCTGGCGCCAACCTTCTTCTCTCCCACATTCATCATTCAATGACAACACAACACACATCTGCATATGTACCATTCTCCCCCCCCCCCCCCCCCTCTCTCTCTCTCTCTCTCTTTCTGTCTTTGCATAAGGAGAGAGAGAGTGAGAGTTAACCTTTCGATAGGTTTTCTCTTTTTCTCTGGGTCTCTCGGTCTCTCTCCGATCACTGACCTAACACATTACATCACATAGCAGCCCCAGCGACACATTTCACATACATCAACCGCGCGATTTTTGAAATTTGAACGTCGCGCCCAAAAGTGACAAGTGCGAATTGGACGGCAACTGAACACAATAGGATGAACTTTTTCCTTTTTATTTGACATTGAATTTGAACAAAAAAAATAGTAGCAAATTCCCTTTTTAAAGGGACAGGTGATTTTTTGGTTGTCCTGTTTTTAGGTTTCCATAGAAGTTGAATGACTTTAATGGGAATGTTCGATTTGAAAATTCTTCTTTTAGATTTTTGAGATTCTGTTAACCTGGAATCTTCTAAAATTTCTGATTTTTCGAAAAGCTGACACAAACTTTGAAATGTTTAGATCACGTAGGCTGTATCTCCATTTCTATGGACCACAGAATATGAAAATTGGTCTTGGCACCATGCCAAGATTCTGGGCGTGGCCTTGACGCATATTGTAGTGTCTCCTTTTGTCTCTGCGTCCCTCTTTCTCTCTACCCAAACAAATTTCTGATCAGCTAAATTAACATGTACATATTTTTATCAGTTGAGATATCATTCGTGCTTTTTTTTCAAATTTCCCTCATTTTCCAGATTTTGAAAGTTTTGAGATTCTGAATTTCCAAAATTCTGAGATTCTTAGATTCTTAGATTCTTAGATTCTTAGATTCTTAGATTCTTAGATTCTGATATTCTGAGATTCTGAGATTCTGAGATTCTGAGATTCTGAGATTCTGAGATTCTGAGATTCTGAGATTCTGAGATTCTGAGATTCTGAGATTCTGAGATTCTGAGATTCTGAGATTCTGAGATTCTGAGATTCTGAGATTCTGAGATTCTGAGATTCTGAGATTCTGAGATTCTGAGATTCTGAGATTCTGAGATTCTGAGATTCTGAGATTCTGAGATTCTGAGATTCTGAGATTCTGAGATTCTGAGATTCTGAGATTCTGAGATTCTGAGATTCTGAGATTCTGAGATTCTGAGATTCTGAGATTCTGAGATTCTGAGATTCTGAGATTCTGAGATTCTGAGATTCTGAGATTCTTAGATTCTTAGATTCTTAGATTCTTAGATTCTTAGATTCTTAGATTCTTAGATTCTTAGATTCTTAGATTCTTAGATTCTTAGATTCTTAGATTCTGAGATTCTGAAATTCTGAATTTATAAGATTCTGAACTTCCGAGGTTCTGAGATTCTGAGACTCTGATCTTCCAAGATTCTGAGATTCTGAGATTCTGAGATTCTGAACTTCCGAGATTCTGAGATTCTGAGACTCTGTTCTTCCGAGATTCTGAGATTTTGAGATTCTGAGATTCTGAGATTCTGAAATTCTGAGGTTCTGAGATTCTGATATCCTGAGATTCTCAAGTTCCGAAAATTAAGAATTTTTGATTTTCGAAAACTTTTGAATTCGAATCTCAAAAATTGAAACATCCGAAAAATCTTTTCCCAATTTTTACCATATCAAAAATTCGTTATACTCTCCCCTCCAGAAAAAGTGACGTCTTCAGATGCCCCTACTCAGAATAAAAAAGTTCCATCTTTTATGTCTCTCTATCTCTCATTTTCCCTTTCCAACCCTTCTCTTCTTTGTGCTCAATGAGCACATCTCACCTACTCACAAAAAAGTGCTGCTCAGATTTTTTTTTGCTTTCCACCATACTTTTTTTCTGTCAGCTGTCCACTTGTCATCTGTCTTTTCCTGTTTCTTGCTTTTCGTGCTCTGAAGTACTCGAACTTTGAAGAATCAATTCAGAATTTCAGAGCTTCAGAATTTTAGAATTTCAGAATTTCAGAATTTCAGAATCTCTGAATCTCTGAATCTCTAAAAAGTCTGTTGACTCTAAGCTCCATTTTTTGTATTTTCACTACGATTTCCATTTTTTCAGAAAATCAAAAAATGTACTTTCTAAAATATACGAATGTTTTCTGACTGTTATTTTGCTCCACCTTACTAAAAATCGTAAAATGTTTGTACGGAAAAAAAGAAACATTACTAAATATTTTTTGTCCGCTTTTCCATGTTTGAAGAATAGAAGGAACATGGCAAACATCATTTTGTTTTCTTTCTTCTTTTTTCTAAAGCTTTTGCATTCTGAATCATTCTCCCTCCTTTTTTTCTTTTTTGCTTTTTTTTACTTTTCTTCCCGAACGTCTTCTTCTATACAACTTCTGATTCTGAAATTCAAAAATTCTGAAAATCTGAAATTCTGAAATTCTGAAGTCCAGAAATTCTGAGATTCTGAAATTGCGAAATTCTGAGATTCTGAAATTCTGAAATTCTAAAATTCTGAAATTCTGAAATTCTGAAATTCTGAAATTCTGAAATTCTAAAATTCTGAAATTCTGAAATTCTGAAATTCTGAAATTCTGAGATTCTGAAGTCCAGTAATTCCGAAATTCTGAAATTCTGAAATTCTGAAATTCTGAAATTCTGAAATTCTGAAATTCTGAAATTCTGAAATTCTGAAATTCTAAAATTCTGAAATTCTCAGATTCTCAGATTCTGAAATTCTGAAACTGCAAAATAAATCTGAACCTCTCTCGATGGCCTACCTTTCTAAAAAAATCGGTTTTCTAGACCATTCAGTCCAATCTCATCAATCTCAGTTCTCAAACTTTATTTTTCAAAAAAAAATCTAGGTGCTCTTTCCCTTGGGATCCAAGACAACAAAAAGAAGTTTGAAAACTCAATCTTTTGGCTCTTTTTGTGCTCCAAGAAGAGCCATTTCAAAAATGCTCTAAAAGTGAGAAAATTGGGCAAAAAGAAAATTTTTGGAGGCTCGAATTTCTTTTAAAAAAAGAGAGAAATAGGCTTGAATTTCACACTTTAAGGACATTTTCAAGTGAGAAATCTACAATTTTTCCCGATTCCCAAAATTTCTGAAAATCCGATTTTTGAAAAATCTGGAAAAGTTATTTGAGATTTTCATTCCTCTTCAGGTTCTTTACCCTGAAATCCGATATCTTTGTTGTTTTATATATTTTTCACGTCTTCTCTTTCTCTCTCTCTCTCTCTCTCTCTCTCTCTCTCTCTCTCTCTCTCTCCATTTCCTATGAAAGTAGCAAAAGCAAAAAAAAAACCGAGTAGGTGAGAAAAAGGAGAAATTGAGCCACGGATTTTTTGTCTCAATCTCTAAACGTCTTATATGGAAAGAGAAAGAGAAAGAGAGAGAGAGAGAGAGAGAGAGAGAGAGAGAGAGAAAAGCGGCGGCACAACTCAAAAATGGCACTTTTTTGCTACATGTAACATTTTTGACACACATACACCCACAGAGTTTTAGACATTGACACATCGTTTTGGAGAAAATTTCGGGCTTCTTTTCTTTCTCTCTTTTTTCCGTTTTTGCAATTTTCACGGATTTTTGAATGGTTTTTTGGAGGTGCCTCATCTGCTCTAACCCCATTCAAACCGACAATTTTGAGCTCAATTATCTCGGTTTCTGTAAAAGATTTCGAAAATCTGTCAACTGGTAAAATATTGGTGGTGATATGATAAGTATTTTATCAGTTGACAAAATGTTGATATCTTCCATAGGAAGCGAGATGATTGAGCTGAAAGTTGACGGATTGGGTGGTCTTTTTGTAGAGGAAGTACGGTACTGGGAATTCCCCTCTCCACTGCGTGTCATGGAGAAATTGTTTTCTCTAGTCCTACGCTGAAATATAAGACTACAAACGAAAATTATGGATGATACAGGTTTATTTATGATGGATATGGTGTGTAGAATGCTAGACTGCTAGAATGCTAGACGTAACACACACGTAGACTGGAGGCCCGATGGGCGGCGCTTCCCCCTCTCTCCCCTCTTTCGTGGCGGGATCCCTGGAGCGCGCAAAGGTCTGTACCTTTAAACGCGATCAACAAAACAACAACAGAAATTGGCCTATTTAGAGAACACCAGCTAATCCCAGAGAAAACAAACAATTCGCTGTTGTGGGAAGGCCTACTGTAGTAAGATTACTGTAGAGGCTTTTTTTTAATTACATAGGTAATTACATAGGTTGCATAATAAGGTGTTTGAAAAAAGAGCCGAAATTTCTTTCTAAACAATTTTTTTTCCAGAAAAATTTCATGATTTTTTATGTAATTGAGTACATTTCCGCTCTCAATTTTCTAGAATTCAGAGATTCTGAGATTCTGAAGTTCCGAAATTCCGAAATTTTGAGGTTCTGAGATTCTGAGGTTTTGAGTTTCGGAGATTTTGAAGTTCTGGAATTCTCAGATTCTGAGATTCTGCAATTCTGCAATTCTGAGACTCTGAGATTCTGGGATTCTGAGATTCTGAGGTTCTGAGATTCTGAAATTCTGAAATTTTGAAATTCTGAAACTTTGAAATTCTGAAATTCGGAGATTCTGAAATTTTGAGATTTTGAGTTTCTGAGATTCTGAGATTTTGAGTTTCTGAGATTCTGAGATTCTGAAAGTCTGAAAATCCATAAATCCCGAGCTCTCTATAATTTTCAAAAAAAAAACGGAAGTCATAAACAAAAAGAGACGATTATAGCTATTTTTTGTCTTTTTTTTCTCGAAAATAGACTCACTCAGTCTCTCCTGAGCTTGAAAAAAAAGGCACAGCGGATTATAGTTTTCAAACTAAAAAATATAGAAAATTCTAGAAAATTCTGAAAAACCCGGAAATCCAAGAATCCTCTAATTCTAGTTAAATTCTAGATTATTGTATTTTTTCTTGATTTATAGCTTTTTCTATTAAATTCGATTTTAAGGTTTTTCTATAAATCCCAAAAAACCTATTTCTGGCAAAATCCGAAAATCCCAAAATACGTCAATTTAAAGTTTCCCATAAACTCCAAATCCGGATCCGGACATCCTTACCCCATGTTCTTCTGACGTTCTCTCTCTCCCTCTCTCTCTCTCTCTCAACTAGAAAATAAAAACAGAAGATTTTCAGAAGACGTCAAGGATTACTATGTTTTTTTAATTCATGACGGGTTTCCTCTATACAACTTCGTTTGTTTTTCCTGACATATTTTACTGGAGTAGATCAAGAAATCAAGCGGAATAGCGGAGTGTCGTTTGAGACTTTTTCATGATTTTAATCTAATTGTAATCAGCATTTTAATCAGGATTTTCCGACTTTTTTGGCCCTTTTTTTATCCAATTTGTTCTAGAATTCTCTAGAAGTCTCTAGAGACGTCTTACTACGATAGCTCAAATTACTCTGGAACAGCTGGAACATGTATTTCTCCGCAGATTTGTTTTTTTTCACTTTTTTGAGCTACCAGGAGTTTAAAAGCGTCTGGCTCGGATATTTCGACATTTTGAATTCCCGCTAAATCTTTTCAAAATGTGCCTATCACTTTATGAAGTTAAAAATGGTATCAACCTTTTATTACCTCTAAAACTTCTTTATATTTTGTCCTAGAGATTTGAAATTTTTCAGATATACCAAACAAAAATAGAGCTTCAATTTTGTAGTTGACAACTTTTTTGTACAATTTCATCCTTCTGAAGCGCGCCGCCGGCGGCGGCGCTCTGCCGTCGCACAGGGACAATTCCACGTGGCATATCTCAACAGAATGAAATTGTACAAAAAAGTTGTCAGCTACAAAATTGAAGCTCTATTTTTGTTTGGTATA